ATATCATAGTTCTAGATGGAACAGTTCTCCCCCATGGAATTTCACAATTAATTAAATTTAGTATATGTTTTTACTTCTATCTTCATATAGTAACTAAAAAAATATGACGAGTTAATTCGGTGCTTGAAAATATTTCAACTTATGCGCAAAAATACCAGTATACAATTTCAATATGACAAGACATGAAATAAAACCAATTAGAGATATTCTAACGCATCCTGAACAAGAACAAAAAAAAAAAAAAAAAAAAAAAAACCCTGCATTTACTTTATTTGTATTTACATTTAAACATTTAAAACCTTTATATCATCCTATAACATTATCCCCCCCCTTCTATTGTAAGCCTCTTGGCAAATGATTCTGTTAGGATGACCACTGCTAGCCTTGTTCTATTGTAGTTGTTTATTTTTTTCCAGATTTTTCTAGGGCTTCGGCCCTCCTGTAAAAAAAAAAAAAAAAAAAAAAAAAAAAAAAAAAAATCCATTGAGGCCTCTTGAATGAATCAAACAGTGAATTCCATACACATATCATTCTATTTATTTCTTCACATTACATGCATACAAAACTTGAAATAGTGTTGCTAAACAAACCCTAAAATTAACTGAGTATACCCTATGATCTAAGTACACCTTAGTATTTAAATAAAATTATAAAATGGACGAACGCCACATACACATGGAAGATTATGACTAATTGCAAACCTTTTAGAGCAAATAAGATAATTTGGATGAGAGAGAAAAAGGGGGGGGGACAGTGGTGGTGGTTGGGTTGGATTCATAGCATTTAACGTCGCCTCCATCGAATATTAGGGTTGAATATGGTGAGTAAGGTGTACTTATTAAAATTATATTTGTTTCACAATTCAATATATTCTTTTTGGTCATTTTATATTAGGGTAAATTAGTAATTCAATAAATAATTTGATAGTATGGTGTACTAAGTTCATTTTAGGGTTCGTTTAGCATCACTCAACTTGAAATCGTGTAGATTTCATATCCATACCTTCACTAAATAGAGGGCATGTTTACGTAATGGGTATGGGAGGAAAGGGAATGATTTCCATTCCTGACTTCCCCTACGTTTACTTGCAATCAGGAATGAAAACATAAGTAGGCCCCACCTCAAAATCCATAATCACATTCCCTCAAAACTATGTATCAGATCAACTAGGGAGAGTAGTCGATACGATTCTCATTCCTGTTTTCTCTTAATAACTTCCAAAAATACCCTTACCACTTTACCATAATTCTAAAATTAATTTGGATTGATTCATGCAAATTAGTAAACAATAACAATGGAATCAATCCCATTCCTTTGCTAATTCCGTATTTTTAGTAAACAGCTTAATGAGAATAATTCTTCCCATACCGATTCAGTAGTTCCCCGATTCCTAAATTCTCTGATTCCTTACTTTCTCCATTACTGATACGTAAACATGCCCAGAGTCTAGAAACAATACAAACTTAGGCCATGTTTAGCAAGCCTTACTATGCTTCACTGGATAGGATTGGGTTAAATAATACTTGAAATCCATGTTTGGTAAGGGAGATGATTAGTTTAAATGGGATTGTATAGTCCAATGGGGAAAAAAATATTGGACTCACTTGTCTAATACAGCGAGCCTGAAATGTAGTTCGCAAAATAGCTAGGGTGCTATTTTGAACACACAAGTCTTGCTGGTTACCACCACCACTATCAAACACACGAGCTTGACCACCACCACCACGAGTCCACGACCGTCTAAACACCATCATCAAACTCATAACTAGCCACCACAGACCCACTTTTAGGTTGATGGTTCAATTGGATCTGCCCCCAGTCTGGTCGAGTAAGCAACCATCCTTATCCCGGGGGGCTCGTGACCTCCGCACCCCAACTTTTAAGAGAGCTAAATCCACTTATGGGTATGTGGTGGTTGCAAAAAAATTTCAAAACGAAACAAAATCTTAAATAGTGCGGCATAATTAGAGAGTGAAAATGAGGGAAGGAAGAAGAAAAGAGAAAGGAGAGAATATGTAGAAAGAAAAAATAAAACAGGGAAGGCAGAAGAAAAAAAGGAAGAAATAAATAAAATAAAAAAAGAAGCGGGCCAGGGAAGGAAAGTAAGAAGAAAAAACAAAGGAGTGAAGAGGAATAAAGAAAAAGAAGAAAAAAAAAGAAAAAAAAGAAAAGTTTTAGCCTTTAAAAAATATTAGAATTTTCTTTATTTTCTTTTTGGTTTTCTTTTCTATTTTATTTTTAGAATTAAGAAAATATAACATGGGTAGTTATGTTCCATAAAAGTAGGACCTATTATCTGATTTTGTTTTTATTTTTAATTTTTTTTAATATGAAAAAATGTGAATTCACCATATTATCCTCATTTAATTAATAATTTCAATTCTTAATGTTTGAATTAACTGAGGGCATTTTCTAGTATTTTAAATGTCTCACCATTCTCTGTCTTTTGCTTTATATATATGGATATTAGAATTTTATTTGTTTTCTTTTTATTTATTTTTAGGTCAAAATCCTTAATTGAAATTAAATATTAAAATAATTATTTTTTAGTCGAACACAACATCAAATATAGGTTTTCACTATTTTTACAATCCAGCTTCTTAGTCCGACACAAAACCAAATGTAGGTCAGTACTTAATCCAGCTTAGGCCAATATGAGCTAATCCAAGACATTCCGAGGATTTAGTCCAATCCATGATAGTCTGCCATACTAAACGACCCCTTAAAGGATTAGAGCCAATACATTACCACTGTACCACATACCCAAAATCCGAGATTTTCTCAATAATCATCTCCATGTCCAACGCAAGTTTTCACATCTCAAATACCTCAATATCAATCTATAAGATAAGCCCATAATCTCCTTGTGTTCAATCTTGAGAAATCGTTGTAATAAATTAAATGAAATATATATAATTCAAGACTACACAAGCCTTGTGAAGTTATTAACTTATACATAATTAAGATACAACAATTAAGAGATAGGTTTTTATTTAAGGGATTTAGATAAGACTCACTATATAATTCTTACCCCATTTACTATAAGGGGAATGCTAGCAACCTTTTCACTAACCTTCTCTTTTGGACATTCTCCTTTTTACTCATGACATGTGTTACTTTCCATTCACTTAAAATAATGTCGTAAATGCATTACACAAGCCAAATTTTGTTTTCCAAGTTTATCCTTATTAAATGTATTGATTTTTTTTTATAGAACTTTCTTACCATCTTATTAAAAATAAATATAAAAAAAGGTGTTTTTCTTTATTCAATGAGAATTTTTTTTCTAAGTTACAAACGAAGTCCATGCTATGATAGGACAACAATTTATTATTACACTATGTATCCTTTGGAAAAAAGAAAAGCTACTTTTTTATATCAATAATGCTACTCTTACACATTTTGTATCTTATGCCACCTTATGTGGCAGCTGAGGTGGACAACCACATCAATTAAAATTATTTCATTTTTTTTATTTCGTTTAACCTTTATCAATTGGCAAAAAAGAAACAGAAAAACCCTAGCGAACGTGAAAACTGGTTCTCCCTCCTCCTCTCCTTCGTTCCTCTCCTCTTCTACTGTCAACGTCTCCTCTCGCCTTCTTCATCTGCTGTCCTCCTACACCATCAATTGACACTCCAATGTCCCTCATTTGGTTATTGGTGAGTATATATGATTTTTTTTTCTTTCTTTTCTATCAATTCTTTTTTTGATTGGGATGCTATATTTTCATGTTCGTTCTCCTCCATTGATGACTTATGGTCATTCTCCATTGTTTCTTTTTATGCATTTTTTAATAATTTTAACATTTTTTTTGTTCTGAATCAGTTAGAACCTGCGAGCATGAAAACATAAGTCAGAAGCTTTTACTCTTTATGATCTATGGATAAATTATCAAATTTGAGTCATAAGATTGATTCATGATCCATAAAAGAAGTTTCAAATCCTGATTTGTTTATATTGCTAGGATAATCAATGAGGGTGCCAATTGAATGGAGATATCCATATTTCCTCTATATACCTATCCAAAACAATCCTCTGTATTTTATTTGTATATTTTGTGTATGTCATATTTTTAGGGACCTGATTTCTGTACGTGATGAAAACATGGTCTTGTATGTGTGAAATCTTAAGTTTCATCTTTGCATCAAATGTTTGTTGGGAATTTTACATTATATATTAATACTCTGCTACCATGACTTGTCAAACTGGGGAATGTTGTGTTTGTCTTCCTTGATTTTTCTTTTTCCGAGAGAGGGAATTTTTCTATCATGTTACAGTCTTCTAGGTTTGTCAAAATTGATTGGCTCTAGAACATGTTTGGAATTCCCTGGTAAACATTACTGAATTTTTCTTATAATTTGATTGAATACTTGGGCTGTTTTTTTTTCCTCTTTGTCATAGTTTCTCTCATGGGTTTGCTTTACTTCATATTTGTATGCAAGGACAAAGATTCGAAGGTTGGTGATCCACCTGGGAAGCTTTCAAGCTTGAGGTCATTGTTGAAATTTGAAATTGAAGGTTGAAATTCCAATCGACCAATGTATCCACATTTTGATACCAAGTAATACTGTTAAAAGAAAGAGAAATGAAACAGGAACCAATTGCATACTTTGTGGATGTGTCGTTTCCCCTGGTTACATATTTGGTTCCTTTGAGAAGTATTGTACAAAATTGAATTCATAAGACAAAGTTCATGTTGTTGCACTCAAGCTTTTTGTGTGCAAGTATGTCAATAATTTGTATGTCAAATTTTGAAGAATTCCTAATGTATGAAGTGATGCAGTCACCTATCATTGCTTTATAATAGTTGGGTTTAATCTGTGTTTTCCTTGTAAATAATTTTCATTTTTAAAGTATATGTCATGCATTATGCATGTGTTCGATCTATATAAAAAACAAAATATTATTGGTGCTAAATAGACTAATAAATCACTTTATCAATATGAAATTCCACAAGATATTCCTCAAAATTTTGAAATTTTCCACAAGATATTCCTTTAACTTTTGCTTCTATTTTCATTTGAGTTCTTGGTGACCATTTCCTCTTGAACTAGAGCTAGGTCGTTCAAACCAGAACCTCCATTCCAATTTTGATATTGGTCACCCTACATATGACAAAGGATAAATGAGACATGAGAATGGTAAATAAAACATTATGTTAAAATGTGTTAATGAAGATAAGTTACCTTAAGATAATTTTCATGGACTGTAGGATATGTTATATTTCCTGTCAATGGTCGTTTGTACAACTGATCTGGATGACCACCATGAGTGAGCCCTAGTAACAAAGCCATATTGTCCTACAAATTCACAATAACAATTATTAGAATTAATTACAATAAAATAATTATCAAACAATAATATATTTATGTCATACCATTACAGCATTATTGCTCTCTTGTGTTCCAACCAAGTTATCACTTTCACAAATTGGTGGGGCATCAGTATGACAAAAGACATCACTTTGTGCAGGTATCTACAAAAATTTCAAGTAAAATATGTAAGACATCTTGACAAAAGACATCACTTATATATATAAACAAATAAGTTGTAGCTTTTATTTGCTAACCTCTGTTCCTCCGTCGGTATTGTCTTGACGATATTTAGTTATATTTCCCTTTCGTTGTCTCTTTTTAATAACTTACTCAGTCTTAGATTGTCTCCTTTTAAATGGTGGGCGGCCTTTACTTCGAACTGGCAATGGAGTAAGTATATGTTGACTTGCATTCAGAAGGCCATTAACACCAGGCTCAAAGCTCTTACCAATGGGCGACTGTGGAGTTGGCTCAGTTCTTTTACAAGTTCCATCATGTTTGCATATTTCCTCCTTTAGGTTATGCATCCAGTTCATGACAACCATGCACTTATCATCAGAATCATTTGCTAATTCCTTAATGTCATCAAAATTCTTCTACATCTTAGCGGATCGTTGTGCGTCAAGTGTGGCAACCCAATCAATATAATTTATTTTAACCCTTGTGTGACATCTTGTCACATCCTTCCTCCATCTTCGCATGATATATCTATCTGGAATAAAGTCGATGTCATGATGAATTAAAACATAAAGCGCATGCCTGCATAAAATGCCTCTAAACTCAAACTTGTAACAACCACAATTCACTTCCTTATTATGTTCATTGAACCAAACATTGAAAATAACATGGCTTTTCTTTTTCCCCAATCTTGATACGCTCAGATATTTGGTACTCCAGAATTTCACTATCACTTTTAAGTAAGACCCTATCACAATGCATTATACATGTCAATTCAGTTTGGAACTCCCTAAATTTGAAAGTGGTGTAAACATCTTGAGCTTGCTTTTCCATGTCATACTTGGTTGCACAGTTAAAACTTTCAGTGAAAGCCTTTGAATCTTCGTGTTTCTCTTTTTTCACCTTAGTCCTCAATGCATTCTCATATTGCTCCACAAATTGTTCTAAAGTAGTCTTAGAGTTTACATAGGCATCAAAAAATGCATTCATACTGTCACTACGTTGTGTGGTAGACATTCCCGCCCAAAAATTATTTTTTACAAATATTGGCACCCAATGATGTCTCTCTTCATATATGCTGTTTAACCAATCATTATTATGCAACCCATATTTGGCAATCATCTCAACCCAACGCTCTTCAAATTCATAACGTGTCATTGAGTCATACACAATGTTATCCAAGAAAAGTCTAATGGACTCATATTTCTTGTAACTTTTCAACTTTTCAGGAACTTTCTTCATTATATGCCACAAGCACACTTGATGCCTAGTCTTAGGAAAGACTTGCTATTGCATTTTTCATGGCTTTGTCTTGATCTGTAATTATTCCATTCTATTTTTCATGGTTTTTTCATGGCATACGGATAAATCCCTTTACAATAATTAATACTACTTTAAGAAAGAGTTTGCTTATATATTGAATGAATTATATTCTATTCCTTTCTCACTCTCTCCCTGTCGTCGCTCACTCTCTGATACTTCTCTCTCTCTCTCTCTCCCTCTCTCTCTAGATCGAGATGGCTGACCCGATCGCTGAAGACTTTGATCCGCCACAGAAACCCAAGAGAAACAAATTTGCCATTGCCTGCTCCCTTTTGGCTTGCACGCCATCAATTTTACTGGGCTACGGTAATTATCCTATTAGCACTCCAAATCGTTTTCTCATACTTTTTTTAATCTTAATTTTGCAAGAAAAAATTGTTGGTTTTGGAGTGTATGAACTGAGCGTGGTCACTTTTGTTTACAGATATTGGTGTGATGAGTGGGGCGAACCTCTCCATCCAAGATGACCTCAAAATCAACGACGTCCAGATTCAAATACTTACCGGCACATTGAACATCTACTCTGTCATCGGCTCCGCCTTGGCCGGCAGAACCTCCGATTGGATCGGGCGCCGGTACACCGCCGTCCTCTCCGGAGCCATCTTCTTCGTCGGAGCTATCCTCATGGGCGTCGCCCCGGACTACGCCTTCCTTATGTTCGGCCGGTTCGTTGCAGGAATCGGTGTTGGCTACGGTCTCATGGTCTCTCCGGTCTACACCGCCGAGATCGCTCCGACTTTGTCCCGTGGCTTCCTCACATCTTTCCCTGAGGTTTGTTTTCTTTCCTTATTTGTTTATTTACCTTTTGTTTTTGTTTTTGAGCCCGAAACAAAACTAAGCTGGTTTCATGTGAAACAAAAGTAGGAAGTGTTTGTTTCCTCAGCTGTGAAATCATCACTTGTTTCCTCACTGAAATTTTTGTTTTTGACAACGTAAGATTCATTAAAGAGATTAGGTGAACGGGTTGTATGAGTTTTTTTGGCAAGTGTTTTATGACTTTCTGTGGTTTATAGGTGTGGAATTTATACTAATTTATTTGATTTATTTGGATAAATATGTACAGGTGTTCGTCAATATTGGCATATTATTGGGGTACGTCTCCAACTACGCCTTCTCCAAGCTCCCAGCTCAGCTCTATTGGAGGTTCATGCTCGGCATCGGCGCCCTTCCAGCCATTATTCTCGCCATCGGCGTCTTAGCCGTGCCAGAGTCACCTCGTTGGCTCGTCATGCAGGGCCGACTTGGGGACGCCAAGCGCGTCCTCAACAAAACCTCAGCCTCCAAGGAAGAGGCTCAGTTGAGGCTAGACGACATCAAAGAAGCCGCAGGCATCGCCAAAGACCTAGACGACGACGTTGTTCCCGTCACGAAGAAAAGCCGTGGTGAAGGCGTATGGAAAGACTTGATCTTGCACCCAACGCCAGCCGTTCGCCATATTTTGATCGCAGCCCTCGGCATCCACTTCTTCGAACAAGCTTCGGGCATAGACTCTGTCGTCCTGTACAGCCCCAGGATCTTCGAGAAGGCGGGAATCAAATCTTACGACCACAAGCTCCTTGCAACCGTGGCCGTTGGATTTGTCAAGACCATTGCCATCTTGGTCGCCACGTTTTTTCTTGATCGGTTAGGGCGGCGCCGGTTGCTTTTGTCCAGCGTGGCTGGGATGATATTTTCGCTCGTGTGCCTCGGGGTGGGTCTCACGATCATCGATCATCACCGCGACACGGTCCCGTGGGCCATCGCATTGTGCATCACCATGGGTGTTATTGAACGTTGCGTTCTTCTCGATTGGGTTGGGGCCCATAACATGGGTTTATAGCTCTGAGATCTTCCCGTTGAAGCTACGCGCGCAAGGAGTTAGTATGGGAGTGGCCGTTAACAGGATAACAAGTGGCGTCATATCCATGACTTTTCTCTCACTATACAAGGCCATTACGATTGGTGGGGCCTTCTTTCTCTACGCAGGGATTGGTGCGTTGAGTTGGGTCTTCTTTTATATGTTGCTCCCCGAAACCAGGGGAAGAAACCTTGAAGAGACGGAGGTGCTATTTGGTAAATATCACAGGTGGAAAAAAGCGAATGCCGTGCTCAGGGAGAGCAAGCAAGGCGATGGCGACGAAAACAAAAGTCAAGTCAACTAGGATCTACGGTCCAGTCCACTAGGGTTTACTAGGGATTTTTATTATTACTAGTAGGATTCAAATACTCTTCATTTCATTTTAGTATAAATGTTTTCTACGTAATGGAGAAAATAAATTTATATATATTTATTCGAAAGGATTTTCTAATGTGTTTTTCCCTTATAATAATATTTTTTTTGTTCTTTCAAAAGCAATAGAGGAATCACTCTCTTTCTCTATTGGAAAAGTGGACTTCTTTATTCTCATTAATAGCTCAACAAAGACCTATAACAATAATTGATATTGACACCCAACCATCATTCATATTATTGGGAAAAAAAAATTACATATATATACCTTATCTTTTGTTTTTTTTATGATAGGCTATAAAATATTATTGATGTGAAACAATTAGTACAACAAGTTTGATTTCATATTAAGGGACAAGGACAGTTTCTTAAGGGGTATATTCAATTAGGATTCTAGAGCGTTTAAAAAGATTTTAAAAATCCGGGTATATTCAGTTTGGATTTATACCAACTTTTAAAAAATCTATAACAATTTGGGTGTATTCAATTTAGACTTGTTTGATTCTTTAAATTGTCCATCTAAATGTGGGTGTATTCAATTTGGACTTGGAAAAAGTCCAAATAAATTTACCTGCATTCAAAAGGAGATAGATTTAGAAGGATTTAATTAAGTGTTGGAGTTTGGAGAATTTGTAGGGTTTAGATATAAATAATAAAGGCCAACAGAAGTCCAACCTCCATTGTTTGGCAAACAATGCACTAAGCCATGCACTGACCTTGGGTGGTTACAAGCGTCCTGTATTAAGCAAAGCTCCTCCATTAGTGATTTCTTCAAATCAACCAGTTGGAGTTGCTGGGAGGAAAGCTCGGCTAAAGATTTTTAGATCTCCAATAAGTTCCCCTGGAGATCATCTCAGCGTGAAGCCAACGTCAAGGTGGCGGAAGGTTGAGATATATTTCATCACCCATAACACTACTAGATGATAGGGCCCTAGCTTTTTGGAGAAAGGGGTTTTTTTTATTAAAAAAAATTGAATTTTTGGACGAAGAGTTTGTTGTTCATGAACAAAATCAAAGGGAAATTTTCAACTCGTGGAAGTTTCAAAGGGAAATTCATTGTTTAGGTATGAAAGTTTCCAACTCGTGGAAATTTCAAAGAGAAATTCATTGTTTAGGTATGAAAGTTTCTAACTCATGGAAATTTCAAAGGAAAATTCATTGTTGTGCATACAAGTAGACGAAGAATTTGGAAAAGAAAAAAAAAGGGATGGTCGACTAGTGGCTAGGTCAAGATAGTTTAAAGAAAATAGTATTGGGAAGAAAGAGTGATAAAAGAAAATAGTATTGGGAAGTCTATGCAAATATATCTGAATTTATAACAAAAGTTCATACAAAAGTATGGAAGTCTATAATAAAAGCCTATACAAGTTTATTTAAAATCCTGGTAAAACCTATAGGAGTTATACAATTCCATGAAATCTATCACTTAAAAAAAATCTTTCAAAATCGTATTCAATCCTACTTGAATACACCCCTTTTAATCATGAATTACAATCCTCAAGCAATATATCGGAAATAAAATAAAATAAGGATTGTCAGTATGACGAATATGAGTAATACCTTACCAAGTGACCTAGAAAGCATCACTTTCAAACCTGTTTCCATTGCCAATATTGTACATGTTATTGTAGTCAAAGTCTCCACTTATGACGCAGAGAATACATTATCCACTTTAACAACATAATTCATAACCCGCCACAAATTTGCCGCTGGAGTCTTTACAACCAGACCAACGCCTCTCTGTGGTCCCTGGCTTCGAAGCACCATCCACATTGATTTCGAGAGTGTTAGCATGAGGTGGCTGCCATGTAAAGATAAAATGTATTTACTTCTTATGATCCGCTTGGATGAGTGTTAACCCCTCGAGAACGTTTTACCATTTGAGTCCCTCATTTATTTGGATAAATCCATATCCTCCATAAACAATCCTGGATTGGCCCTACTAATAGAAACCAGAATTTGTATCCCAAAAGAACACCAACCCCGGCGTACGGATAAATCCATTTATAATTAAATAGTCTTCTTTTTATTTGAGTATAAATTTTATACAAATTTATAAATAAACCCAATCCTAGACATATATTTATAAAAAAACCCACGCACTCCCTTTATTTTTTCTATGCAATGGAGAAAATATAGTTTATATATTTTTATTCGAAAGGATTTTATAATGTGCCTACCCTTTGTAATATTTTTGTTGTTGTTTCAAAAGCAATAATGAGAATACTCTCATTAATAGCTCACAAAGGACCTATAACAATAAGTGATATTGACACCCAACAATCATTCATGTTATTGGGAAAACAATTACATATATATACCTTATCTCTTGGTTTTTTTTTATGATAAGCGAGAAAATATTATTAATGTAAAACAACTAGTACAACAAGTTTGAGTTCATATCAAGGACAAAGGACAATTCCTTGATTATGAATTATAGTCCTACAATACATCATAAATAAATTGAGGAGGAGTTGGATTGAGGAGAATTAGATTCACGATTCCTATTAAAGTTATTTACTAAACTATATGGATTGAGGAGAGTTAGATTTTGGATTCCCGTTGAAGTTGTTTACTACATCATATGGAATTGGGGTAGGAATGGTACTCATTACTAAAATATCATTCTTGTTGGGTTAAAGTAGATGGCAAATTTAGAATTTTAAAATTGTGTGAGGATATAATGGGTAAAAAATATGAATTTATAATAGGTTAGTTATCTGTGAATTATAATATCACCTCCCACCCAAAATTTGAAATACCCCAAAATCAGGAATTCAATTCCTAATTTTGGGTGGACCCCACTGACTTTTTAATTATTTGATGTGAAGTAAACATATAAATCCTTCATAAGTAGAATTCAATTCCTAATTAATAAACACACCATTTAACTAGCCCCTATTTTTAATAACAAATTACACCATTTGCTGTTGAATTTAATGAACCAATACTCTTTTCACCTAACAACGGATTCCCTAAACTATAGCACGCTTAATAACCTATATATATATATATATATATATATATATATTACAAAAAGGCAATAGCTTTTTATTGATGAGGAAATATTAAATAATAAAACAAGTACAAAAACCAAGTTATGTCCTATAGTATATCTACACCTATAATTTAATTACTATCAAATAATTAAGTAACACAAATAATCTCTCAAGTAACACTTGGCCAAGCTATCTTCCTCTGTAAGGTCAAATTGAATTGTGCAGGTAACCATTATTGTAGACAATTAAGCATCTGACAGTAAAACATACTAATAGCTTTTAGTGCCTCATCCATGTCAGGTTCTGTAAAGATTTTCTCTTCATGATCTCCAACTGATTTGGCCAACTTCAAATACTTCACAAAAAGTAAGTTAGCTGCTTTGGTTACAGCTTCTTTTCCATCAGAAAATGAAGAAAATTCCAGAGACATGCGGTTTTGATCGACTAAATCTTCATAAGCCTGCACAGCATGGATGTTAAGTTGGGTATACACTTTGGCATCATCAATAATGCATCACTGTCCATTGTGAAAGGCACAAATGATTTATCAGATCTATATATTTAAAGAAAAAAGTACTACTTTGCATAAACTTAACCCTCACTCGCCCTACGTCAGTAATCTAGTGGTGGACTACCAATGTATGCTTTATATAGGAGTCATATTAAAAATATAAAACAAAAATTAAAGGCAATTGCTTGGTATTGGTATCAAAAGAAAACTCTGTTGGTCTCAACACAATCCTGAATTCTAGATACACCTAGAATGGAAGATTGATCGTGACAGCCTGAACTGCTTCCCAGTATGCTAATTAGTTAATTTACGGTGGAGAATTGTAGAACCAGATTGTAACTTTACTGTAGGGACAGAAGACAACACCTTAAATTCTGTTGCGTTTTTCAGTTTATTCAAGATGGCTTCTTTTGATTTCTTCAACACTCCTGGACATCAGAAAAGTAAAATAATTACACAAGATTTAAATACTTATGTTACATTGTTGCATACCAATGGTAGAAAGCGTCTGACATCAGTCAGGATAGCAAACCACCATTACCTTCTGTATCGTAGAGGCACACACGCTTCACACCAATAGCTTCTAGCCACTGCAGCAGCTCAATTACTTTTTATGTTTGGTAAGCTTCTTCACTTTCTATCACAATTGCCAGGCACCGTAGCTTGCCCAAATTAAGGGCTTTGTAGCTCTTGAGTACTCCACCAGAAATAAGACAGCTTTGAAGCACATAAGCTAAACCCAATAGAAAGTACCATATGCTGACAAAAAGGTGTAGAATATGCCATAGGAGCAGAAGCCCGAGATTGCCAATCTGCAGCAGCCACACGCAGGATCAACATTGACCTTAATATCAAAGTAGGTAGCATACGAAATGAATGAATATCAATCAGCCATAATCATCCAATATACATGACTTTTCTGATGTTGCAATAAATGGCCCAATAATTCAAAAGCTTGCAATCTTTTCAGGCTCATAATTTATCTTAAAAGTTTATTACCTACATTAAAACTCATTTCCAATTACACGAACAGAGAAACAACATCAATTACACAAAGCCATCATCCAAAGAATAGAGCTTCAAAGAAGCCTTCTCTGCACTACTTTATTCTTTTGTCAAATTATTTGGTGAGGTAGAAAACAAACTCAAGGTTTCCTACTTTCCGCATGCCAATTTTAAAGAACAACCTCGCTATAATGTACAGATCAAATCCAATCATATTCTTTTACTTCATTATGCCATATGAAGGTGCTTCAACTATGTAGAAGACAATAAGAATTAATAGGCCCTTTCTTATATGGACTATAACAAATATCTGAATTTAAAACAAAACGCAAAGTGGAACTAATAAGCACATTTAAAAGCTTGTCAATACTATTTTTTATGATCACACCAATCTTTTACAGAGACTATTCTATTGTTCGCCTACATGACCATTTTTAGTTAGATTGATTAAGCTTCCAAAATAAATTGAAACATATAGACTAATTTCTCTTTTGTTGGCTAAAATCATCTAGAGCAAAGCCTCAACCTCCAACCAGGAAACACCAAATGAACAACCATCCAGCAATCTAATTACAATGTAAAAAGAGTAAACTTCTAACAGGTAATTTGCGCTGGAAATTAAAGAGCACACGATATGTATCAGTCCCTATGTTGCATCGATACGGATTCAGGTACTCCGATATTATACGATACACCGATACAGCAAATCTCCAAAAAGTAGGATATAGGTATGACACCGATACCGTAATTAAAATAATATAAATATATAAACATATATATGTAAAATTATATATATATATATATATATGTAAAATTAGCATTTTGGGCAAGTCAATCTTTAATCATTTGATTCCTGTTATGGCATTTTATCATAAACTTTTGTTATAATATCTTACATCTCATCATGCGATAAGCTTTAAAATGATATTTTTCATCAAAATATAACACATCTGCCTAAAATACAAATTAAAAATTCTCGTCATTTCCTCAACAAGACTGAGTCAATGAAAAGCCTAAGCGCACCTTTAGAAACAAGCGAAATGTATATGTTAATTACTTATATTGTAGGTTTTAACTCAAGTTGTGGATTAGGTTAGTTGGCCAGAGCAATGTGCCCACCTCCTTACACCCAAGTTTGAGTCCCCTTCCTTAGATTAGATTAATTTATAATAATTTAGATTATTAATTGTATTTAAAAAATGAGTTTTAACTCACATGCTTTAGGCTATTTCAGAATTTGGAGTAGCAAACTCCAAACAGGGATTCTACACCCCGACACAAACAAGACCACTATATAAAAGAAATCTTTTATTCATGTTCTTGAATTGAGTCTAATATTTGATCGTTTTGTAAGTCTTAATAGGTTTATATGAACTAAACACATACCTTGATCAGACATGATGTTCACAGGAAATTGTCTTGCTTATTCTACTGTAAATAAGTCTTCTCTACTATCCAGCTCTTTATCTCTCTTTAGATGGGGTGAGAATAATATTGAGTGTGTATTTAGCCGATAGGACAGGGACATCTTTTTATAGGCTTTACTTAAGACTCCTCCTCATCAAAGACGTCTTAAGTTTTCCTTAAGCCAGTAGAATTAGGTGTTTCAATTCACATAAAATTAGGAAATCTGAAGCACTTTGTATTTATCAAAACAATCACTTATACAAAGTCTAAAAGATAGATGAAATACGTACTCCTAATTGGCATAAAACTAGATATCCTTAAGTGATTAGAAGACCATCTCAGTATTTGATTTAGAATGCAAATTCTTACATTCTCCCACTTGGTCAATTAATCACTAAAGAACCATGTCAATTACTGTAAGGCCTTGTGAAGTACACATTAATCTTGTTTCCTTACCAAGCCACTGTCAACAATGAGAAAGTTTTAGTGTGTTTTACTGTCAGATGCTTAATTGTCTACAATAATGGTTACCTGCACAATTCAATTTACCCATCAATGTGGGTATAACAACCAATATGACTCAAGTAGTCAATTTCGTGGCCAATATGGTGGGCATAACTATGTTGGCGGATCTGGTGACCGATATAGTGGGCACAAATATATTGGCGGATATGATCTTACGAATCAAAATGGTTCGAATGATCAAAATGGCTTTGGTGGCCAATCCAGTCAAGTGGCATGGGGGCAATACACTTACTCAGGTGGCCAAAATAATCCGCCTAGTATTTATGATCAGCCTAGTTATGGCTCCCACCAGATCAATCATCCTAGTGGCTATCATGGCCAAAATGTTCTTAGCGTAAGGGAAATGCCATATGTTGATCGCATGGATAAAGAACATCAAAATTTCATAAAGGAAATATCTAAAGTGAAAGATTTATTTATGGAGATGGCAGTTTCCACCAAACTTTTGGTCTAACATTTGCGTGAAATCTCCATGCGACTTGCGACCGAAGAGCAAGTTCTTAGCCAACAAGATGAGGGGCAAACTCTCAACCCCAACCTTGATTCTCAGTCACAAAAGGAAAATTCTCATGTGGTTGCAAGTCGGCCACCCATTCCACCTACTCCTCTAGAGGAAAGTGAGGTTGGTATGGAATATGAGAGTGAGAAAGAGATGGGCGAGACGACCTTAGGATCAAATGTTCAAGTCGACCATCCTATTGAGAGCCTGACATTGGTTGAGGAAAAGGAGTCCACCCAAGGGGATGAGACCCAAAAGATGGTCACCGATGAAAATTGCAATATGGTCCAACCCAAGGCCACTATCTTAGGATGTAATAGCTTACCACCTAGTGAAGAAGGAGGTCGAAGCACGACCCAAGGTGGAATCATAATAGACATGATTGTATGAGGAAAACTCGACATTGCGAGACCATAATTGCAAGTGGTCAAGTTTATTGAGCCCCAGCCAAAGGCCAAGATTGGCCGACCAAGTGGACTTGGGGGGCATGAAGGGTCAGCCAAAGTGATGGCCAGAAGTCATCTAGGTAGTGCTAGTCATCCTAGTATTTCAACCCATCGCCAACAAAATGGCAAGATCCAAGTCAAGAATAAGAAGGGCTCCAAGCTTGGAGTAAAACATGGTTGGCCACCGCCATGGTCTCCATGACAATTTTGTTCTACACGGCCACCTACTAGGTAGGCCGGTAAGATTCAAATAAAGGTCATGGTTCATTCTTGAATGAATTGGCCACTTCATTATAAATAATAAATATAAAATAAATATATATAAAAAAGGCTAAAGAGTGAGTTTCGTCGACGGAAGATGAATGACACCTTGATTTCGGCCATAGAGGTGGAAGTTTGTGATTTTTGGGCAAAATATGACTTGGGGCCATATCCATCACCCAATTAATCCGCCGAAGGGATTCACATCACTTCGACCATAATAAGATGGTTGGTTTGCTCCTCGTGTATACTCAGCGACAAAATGTTTCGACCGATCAACAAGGCGAAAATGGTCTCGGCCGAACCATGGCCGTCGACCAAAATGATCTCGGCCAAGATCCAGCCGTCGGTCCTGACCATGTGTTGGTTGAAGATGTTACGAAAGTCACCGGGGGATTAGTCTTGAGGCCGAATTCGGCCACTTCATTGGAATTCCAAAAATTCATGTGTGCCATGGAGACAATGGCACAGATTATGGCCACTCAAAATGCTCAAATCAATGAGAGGTTTGATTGATTGCTAGGCTAACTAAATGGCCAAAATGGGAACCAAGGGGCGCCTAATGGAGTACTAGCGGTCGGGCATCAAGTTGAGGCCCAACCAAATATTTTTGGTGTGAATTCGCCCCAACCAAATCCACTAGATGGGGGCAACCCAACCCCAACGGTTAATGTTCCGCTGATGGGCAACAATCCATATGCGGCGGCCAACCAATTCCAAGTGTTCCTGCCATACAATCAATTCCGCCCACAAGCTATCCAAGGGGCCGAAGCCAATTTTGTTGGGCCTTATATCAACCAATTCGCCGAAGTCGGTGGTTGGAATAATCTCGGCAGAAATGGGAACAACCCATTGTTAGGAAACCAAACAATCGACTGATGTACGGTCGAACAAATGATTCAAGATATGGTGCCCTATGCTAGAAGGATTGGTATGTTAGCCTACCGAAGGCCATATCCGGGGCACTTTGATCAAGAGGAATTTTCGAGGGGTTTCAAGGTTTCGGATTTTGCACTATTTTCGAGAGATGGGCTCCAGTCGACCGTTGAACATATTGGCCAATTCACAGCTCAATGTGCAGAGATTGGGCATCGTGAGGCCTTGAAACCAAGGATATTCCCAAGTACACTCACGAGGCAGCTTTCTCGTGGTATGTCAAACTTCTACAAAACTCCGTCCCAAATTGGCAAGTCATGGAGCAAATCTATCGATCGAAGCCAGAAGTCTCAATGGCCGACTTGTGAAGATAAGCCAAAAGCCAAATGAGTCGGTCCAAGAATATTTGGGACGATTTAAAGAAGCAATGGCAAGGTGCACGGTCAATATGCCTGAGCACGAGTTTGCAAAATTGGCCCAAGGAGGTTTGTTGCTCAACCTCCGAAAGAAATTCGAAGGAATTGAGTTCCGCGACATCTACGATCTCTTATTTCGGGTGGACCGATACGAAGCCCTTCTAAAAGAGGAACAACAAAAGGGGCGGTCGGCATCTCCACCAACCTTTTATAAGAATTCGGCCAAACCCTCCGGGCCTAGAACTATGGCGGTCCACGCAGTAGACGTTGAAGATATAGAGTCGGGAGAAAGAGATCAGGAGATTTCCCTAAAAGAGGAAGAAGAGTTGACCGGGGTAAACTTGGCCGAGATTATGGCAAATGGTCATATATGTGCAAGGCTTTGTCTAAAGCCTTCAAGGATCAAAGGCCGACGACGGCCCAAATTTCCAAGCTTAGTGGAACCTCCCAAAAGACTTCATCGATTGGAAGATTGGAGATGTGTTCGACGAAGTTGAGTCCATGGTCCAAATGGAATGGGCCAAAGAAATTGAGGTGGCCCAAGAAATTCTAAAGAAAGGGAATGCCCAACCATGCATTATGGTGCCCAAAAAGAAAGAAAAGTTGCCCAAGAAGGTGTGCTATGAGATGCCCACCAAGAAAATGTCCTCCCACCTTAAGCCTTTGTATATGGGAGCTCATCTTGATGGAGTTCCGGTGAGCAAAATCCTTATAGATACGGGGGCTACAGTCAACATCCTACCAGCCTCAATCAAGAGGAAATTAAAGAAATACTCAGATGAATTAATTTCGACCGAGACAATGGTCAGTGGGTTCGTGGGAGACACCACGACTTCAAGGGGGATTATCCCACTCCAAGTTAGAGTGGGGCAAAAAGTTAGAATGACCGTCTTCTTTGTGGTGGAGACAACGGCCCATTTCAATGCTTTGTTATGCCAAGATTGGATCCATGGAAGCATGTGTGTGCCCTCAATTTTTACAATTTTGGCACGAAGATGGAAGTGTAGAGACTGTTCAAGCTGATGCACGGCCTTTTATGGTCCCCGCCAATGCAATGGAGGCAGATTTTTATGATGATGACATTGGGCCTCTTTATTTTACGGGGCCAAATAGGAACGGCCAACCTACGGGAGTCTCGGCCTAAAATTTGATAGACTTGAGGACATATGATGCCCAAGAAGATGGGGAGCACCCCAATATAGCTAATTTTTTTCTCCCTCAATGAGTGATACAAACATAGAGGAAGAGAAGAAGGCCGCCGTGGAAGACACTTTGAGATGGCTATATGGTTTTTGGACCAAAAAAGCTGCCGAGCATGATCCACTGCTAACGTGGTGGAATTTCTCACGAAAGTCCAGAAGATGATGCACTCGAAATTGAGGAAGTGGAATTCACACAAACCGAGATGGATGATTCGAATGCGGAAGTCCAATACCCTCTTTTGGAAATCAGCTAAGATGATGCGGCAGGAAATGCTAGAGAACTTGGGTGATCTCGGCCGGGTCTCCAAGGAATCTCTTGGCGGCCGAGATCTAGAGCAACCAGTGCCTTGGGCCTATTAGTGGCTGGAGTACTTGGAGGGCTACGGGCTGAAATGTTATACATATATATAATAGGTAGATGAATGCAAGAATGCGGCTGGGCACGACTGGAAGAGTTGGGGCCAGATCAAGTTGGGCAGTTTCCGAAAATGCAAGCGAATGGATTTAATGTCGAAGAATTCCTAAAGGCCGAAGTGCTTTCTCAAAAAGGTGGTCAAGGTCTTTTCTTCAAAGGCCATGGTGCTTTCTCAAAAATGCGGCCGAGGTGTTTTCTTCAAAGGCTATGATGCTTTCTCAAAAATATGGTCAGACACTTCCTTTTGCAAAAGTGGTCGAATGCTTCCTTCTCAAAAAGTTGGGCCGGGCACTCCTTAAATACCTTGGTCGGCCACTCCTCTTACAAAAAGCTGGGCCGGGGTGAATTTTCTCCTTGCTCACCTTGACGCCCTCCTCTCAACACTCGGGCAAGCAAAGTCAGGCCAAGGAAGCTGAAGTTCGTTGGGAGTTATGTCCGCCGAGTTCCCAATATTCGAATATTTGAGAACTCAAATATAATCCAATGTAGGGCGAAGCCCAACATCCAAATATTTGGAGTTCCCATACCACCCATCTTGGCAGATGGTCGACGGATGGTAAGCCAACTCTAGAATTCTAAAAACTCAAGGGGCACAAGGTTCCACCATATGTCAAGATGAAATCTTGGAGGTCAAGGCCTAAGCCACGGATTCAAGCCCAAGATTTTCGGAGGTCAGTATGTATGTGATGGAGGCCTCACAAGGAAACAAATCAAGGAGATTGATGATAGTTCATAATATTTCAAAACAAGAAAAGCCACATGCTCAGTATAGGATACGCCATTAATGGAAGGAGGGTCGGTGGGATCTCCGCCATGGCCGAGATACGTCTTCACCCAACTCCCGGAGGTCTTGTTTGACTTGTGAAAATCTAAGCCCACTTTGCCTTTCGGAAGGTTGGCGGCCGAGAAGTCATTTCCATGAGGGCGAAGGCCGGCCATAGCGGCCAAGTCTAGCAAGTTGGGCGTCATCATCCCAAAACGGAGCCTCATGCAATTGGTGGAAGAAGACCAAAAGCATAGGGCCGCGAGGATGAGAGATCGGTCGCAAGGAAATGGGCTTCCCGCACATAGGAGTAATGTATCACAAATGCCAATTTTCTTCCAATGGCCTATCAATTTTGGTTCCAATGCCTTGAACCAATGATACCAATCAAACTTGCCATCCACCGAGCTTGAGTGGTCGGGCTTCCTAGCAGCGGATGATGCTTTCTTTGATGAAGCCTCTTTAGTTGTGGCGGGATCCGTTTTGAGGGGGGTTCCCGTCGGCCAACCTTTGAATGGCTTGGAGCCCTCCCAAACAGCTGCCCAGGTAAAGTCTGAAAAATAAGTTGGGCCATTTCTCGACTGCGTCACCCACATCTTGGCTACCTCTTGGATATTTGTAATATCTAGGGTTTTTAACGGATAGGAAGTTCAAAAGTCCCTCCAATTTAATTGGTGTCTTCCTAAATTCCTACTCGATTCAAAATTTAATAACGTGCAAGGCAAGCAGAAAAGAAAAATCTCAAATTTCAGAAATTGAAAGGTTTTGGATTTCAATTTGCTTACCTCTACACCAATTCCGACCTAAACAAATCGGGGGGCAATGTTTGGGGGTGGTAGAAATCTACCTAACCCGGGCACGAGAATTGACCGGGCAAAAGAAGAATAGAGGCCGGGCTTCTCAACTACGGAGTTGGACCGAATGAAGCTAGGCAGCCATTGGAGGAAGGGGCTTGCGAGAGCACGGCCGGATGCTTGCATGGTTGAGAGAGTGGCTGGGTTCTTCTTGGAGTGTTGGCGGCCGAGATTTGTTCGAGTGAGGCCCGAATGTAACTAGGCACAATTTGGTGCGCCCGGAGGTGATGAAAGCGGCTGGAGAGATTTGGAAAATTGCAGTCGGGCTCGGAATGGATGTATTGCGGCCGGATTTTTGTTGCCCAAAGAGATGCGGCCGGGTGTTGTGGGTGAGTGAATAGCGCCCCGACTTTTGTACTAGAAGCTCTTTGTGGTTGGGGCCTTTGGTTAGTCTTCAAAGTTGGGCTGAAGTTTAAAAACAAGCTGAATATGTATATATATAATTATATTTATATATGTACGATTGGTGCCCTAGGAACTTTTTCAAAGTGGGCAAGCTGTTTGGAATGCATGCGGCCGGAGTTTAATTGAACCTGCATTATCTCATATTGCATTTATATATATATATATATATATATATATAAATACAATTGTTTTGAACTTGCATGTCGGCCAGGCTCTCAAGCTGAGCTTTCCTAGTCCTATTATATAATATATATATATATATATATTTAGAATTTAATGTATATCATATGGATGGCAATGTAAGAGAAATCGGATGCCCAAGTTTAAGCCAACGATTATTTTCCAGATTTTTGGAGGATTACGTGCACATGACGGAGGGCCTCACAAGGAAAGAAATCAAGGGATTTCTTATAGTAACTCCGAGTGTTCCAAAACAAGGAAGAATCAAGCATGTCAAAATATCAATGCAATCCTACGGATTTTAGGAAGGCTTCGAAAGGAAAGATTTTTAAGAAGAGTTGACCTTTGGCCATTCAATGGACAGCCCATAGGCTGACGAGTGCCCTATATAAACCTTGCTCGATGAAGACATCAACACACAACATCAGACAAACAAACTTATCTTTCGTCTCCCACTTTTCTCTTCCTAGACTTAGGATTTTATTTTTCAAGCACCTAGTATAGTGAGTTCTTCCTTTTCCAAGTGTAAGTTTATATTTTCCTTGTCACTTAAATTCTTGTTCGATTTATATTTCTTGTCATTTCAATTCAAGTTTATTTCGATTCCTTTACATTTAATTGTTATCGCACTTCGATTGAATTTAATTTCAAGTTTATTTCATTTTCATTCTTATCGCTCTTATCGCTTTTATTTCGTTCTTGCTTTATTTATCGCTTTGATTTATTTTATCGCATTTCAATTCTTGTCTTTACGTTTATACGCATATTTAGTTTAATTGCATTATTTTTTACTTAAACCACAAAAATCACAAAAACATCCGTACGAAACCTAACCATTCTCAAGCCTAAGAAAGTGAAAGAATCTAGGCCAAGAGAAGGTTCCTTGCTTGGCCGATCAATCGTTTGGTCAGAAGTTAGAAGCGCAACACATCCATCTGTTCACATTCCATTCAAGCCCAAATTCAGGGCTTGGTGGTGGCACGCCCCGCATCCAAAAGAAGAAAGACCAAAAGTTCCTTCCGTCGGTCACCCCGGCCGAAAGGAGGGAAACAGGTGGCCTCTTGGTTATGAACCCTTGCAAAGAATTAGCAACATGTTTTGAAGCACCACTATCCAACCACCAAGTGTCAACTGAAACCTCAATCATATTTGATTCAAAACAGACCAAAACATTTTCATTCTTACCTTTGTTCTTCTGTTTCTCTAACCACCTCTTGCACCTCTTACATTCCCTTTTCATGTGTCGAAATTTTCTACAAAAGAAGCATTTCAGTCCAGTTGGTTTTCCTTCTTTTGTTTTGGTATCGCCTTGGTCTTTCTTTTCCCCAAAAACTGTCTTTTTATCCTTGTTCTACTTGCCACAATAATCTTGAACTATGTTCACAGCTTTCTGACCTCTCTCCATTATGATGTTATGCTCTTCTTGAACACTAATGGTTATAAGATCATCTAGCGTCCAACTTTCCTTCTGAGCCACATATGAACTCTTGAGAGTTTTGAACTCCTTTGGCAATAAGTTCAAGGCAAAATGCACCATCATGTCATCATCTATAGTCATGTTCAGTTCCTTCAATTTGTGTGCAACGCCTGCCATGTTCATTATGTGAGCTCTCACACAACCTCGCCCATCATACTTCATCTTAGTTAATTTGTTCAGCAAGGTACTTTTCTCTCCTTTCTCAAATTCTTTGAATTTCAGACTAATAGCAGCGAGGAATTCTTTTGCATTTTCTGATCTTGGAATGCTACCTCTCAAGGAAGGTGTCATGGTTCTCAGCATAATCAGTATAGCCATCTTGTTAGCCTTTTCCCATTTTTCATATCTCTTTTTGACATCTGCAATAGCATTGGCAGTAGGTTCGTCAAGTGTATCCCATTTTAGAGCTATGTCATAGTCCATTAGCCCTAGTGAAATTTCCAACACTTCTTTCCACTTCAGATAGTTTGATCCAGTTAAGATTTCGATGGAGTTGTAACTTGAAGCACTCACTGTAAGTTTAAAGAAAACATAAATAAACATCCCCAAAATCTTTAACTAAACATTATTGATTTGCACCTGTGAGTTACAAATCAAACATGTTCCATAGTACTCAAAACAACAGATCTGTATGAGGAATCTTGAAACAAGAAACATTTCCATGTCTGTGGACAGAGGAATGTTCATTGTTTGTTCATACAATCTGTTTTCCATACTGTTCCATTATAAACAGCCCTTTCTTGCACGATTCACATAAGTGGACGGAGAATTGTACAAGAGAGGTTGAATATAATGCAATTTTGATCAAGAACTTTGAATGAAGAATCTCTTGTACCAATTGAGTTGCTGTGGCTCACTCAATTGATCCAAAATCCTCCCCAAACATTGATCATTAGTCTTTCAAGCATGATTTAAGCAGGAAACTTTATGCTCATCTCATACCTTATCAAATAAGATATGCAATGTATAATAATCAAAATATGCATGCTATAATGATTGGTGTTTTCTTTAAACTATATCATGTTGTAACATATGTATTAAAACCAGATTTTTTAGCCTTTTCATGCGAGCCTTGATTCATTTGTGATTAGGTTAAGAACATACAACCTAATGCTTTGATACCACATGTAAGTCTTAATATGTTTATATGAACTAAACACATACCTTGATCAAACATGATGTTGCCAGGAAATTGTCTTGCTTATTCTGCTGTAAAGAAGTCTTCCCTGCTATCCGGCTTTTTATCTCTCTTTAGATGGGGTGTGAATAATATTGAGTGTGTATTTAGCCGATAGCACAGGGACATCCTTTTATAGGCTTTACTTAAGACTCCTCATCATCAAAGACGTCTTAAGTTTTCCTTAAGCCAGTAGAATTAGGTGTTTCAATCCACATAAAATTAGGAACTTTGAAGCACTTTGTATTTATCAAAACAGTCACTTACACAAAGCCATGAGTGATTAGAAGACCATCTCAGTATTTGATTTAGAATGCAAATTCTTACACGTTTTTCTCCAGGTATCCTAGAATCGCGTCCTTTGCCATTGCTCCTTCCTCGCTCTATCTGACATGAGCAGAGCCATGATTTAAAGTAAAATTAAACCAAAATCAGGAAAGTAAATCAATTCCTAATTAGAACCGGAGACTACAAAGAAGTAACTAATAACTTAAAGTAACTAGAAATGCGTCCTTTTTCCGATTGTAGTAAGCTGGTTAAAGTGAGGTGGAGTTGCAGGTTGAATTCTGTTTGGTGCGCTTGGACTGAGGCAGGTTGAATACTATTTATTAAAGACAATTTTTATTTTTAAAAAGGTACGGCCGCCCGGCTATACTATTTACTATAAAAAAAACAGAGTAGCGGCTATACTACTTTTAAATATAAAAGGGAAATATAACAGAAGACCCCATCGATTAGGCGCCACGTGTCAACACAAGTCTATTTTTAAAAAAACTAGCCCCTTGGCGCATGTGCTAATTGGTTTTCTTTTTTATTTTTTATTTTATTTTTAGAATTAAGAAAAGATAACATAAGTAGTTATATTCCACAAAAGTATGACCTATTATTTGATTTTGTTTTCAATTTTGATTTTTTTTAAATAAAAAAAGTGAATTTACCATATTATTCTCATTTAATTAATAATTTTAATTTTTAATGTTTGAATTAACCAATGGTACTTTTTGGTATTTTGAATGTTTCACAATTCTCTGCCTTTTGCTTATATATAGATAAATTATTATTATAAAAAATAAAAAAATAAAAAAAGACCCTCTATCTATTAGGCGCCACGTGTCAAAAACAGTGTAGCCGCCCGCCTATACTCTTTAATAATAAATAAATAAACAATAAAAAAGGACCCCCGTAGATGCATTAGTTTGTACCTTATAAATATTAATTTGCTAGTTTCAACATATCCAAAGTATATATTAATCTTGCACCATATGATATTTTAATATAATTTTTATAACATAAGTTATTTTTATTCAATAATATGTGAGAATTATGTGTATAATATGGGAATTTTGTGTGTCTTACTGAAAATTTTGAAAAAATTACATTTATAAAACATTAGAAATATATACGTACATGTACAATACAACTATTGTATGTTTGCCATCACGATTGGTGGGGCCTTCTTTCTTTACACGGGAATTGGAGCATTGAGTTGAGTCTTTTTCTATACAATGATCCCTGAAACACAGGGCAAAATCCTAGAAGAAATGGAGCTCTTTTTTCGGTAAATACCATAGATGGAGACAAGCCAACACGATGCTCGAGCATGGCACTTGGGACCCGTTTGGTTCATGGGAAAAGAGGCATGGGAATGGGAATTCAATTGCTTTCCCATGTTTGGTAAGTCCAGGCATGAGAAATGGTTTCCTGGCATATGGGAAAGTATAGGGGAAAGTGAATCCCTCCTTTTAACTTGGGTTTTGTTTTCCCTCCTCATGGGAAAGTTTGGGAAAATGAGCCAACATTCAATGCACAATTTTCATGACTATTTTGTCCCTATGAACAATTTATAATTACAACGTATCATTAAATGCATTCTTTTTTTATTTGATTTAATATGGGTATAATTGAAAAATTATACAAACTTTGTTTTCCATTCCTACTCAAAACAAACATGGAAAAGGAAACAAAAAGGAAACAAAGTGAAATATTCCGGTTACTTTCCCGACATTACCAAACATGGGAAAGGAATCTTTCATTCTCATTCCTTGGGAAATGACATGGGAAATGTTTTCCCCTCAAATCCATTCCGTGAACCAAACGGGGCCTTGTGGTTGTGGAGGTTGGAAAGCAGTAATAACAGCACCACAGGCTCTGCCTTCTCACTCTTCACTTGCCCATTACTTAATAACAGCACCTTGCAGTAGTTAAAAACTCGAACTTCATCAAATACAAAATCTTCCTTTTCCACCAAACTTCTCAGTACATAGTGCAAAAGATAACCCAACAAAAATAAAAGAAGAAAAATGGAAAAAGATTGTGGATGAATCAATCTCACCTGCTGCAGACCATGATTAGCTTGAGGTGGTAATACAAGGTGACGAGAAATACAATCCAATCGCCTCCGTGCACTCTTCTCCATTGTCGTCGTCTTGTTTACATGTACAGCTTCTGAATCCTGCCCTCAGTAGGACTTCACGGAGACGTATTTGTTCTTGGACTTTTGCTCTGATCAAAATCCAAATGGGTAGTTTTAGTTGAAGCCCATAAGGTTGATAATGGCCTTGACGAGATTGGGCTGAACTGTATTTATATGTATGGGGTAAGTTTGCTGTTGTTCCAGTCTTCAGCGGGACAAAATTTGATCACTACACCCTTTCATTGATGTTTCTGAAAATTTCACAAGTAGTATTAAAAAATTTTCAAAAATGTCAAAAATAAAATTGTCATTGTTGTCCTCATCTCATACGTCTTCGTCGAGTATAGTGAGTAAATTTTTTAGCGTGAATGGCAAGGCTCTTCATTCTTTGACAACATGTCTTAGAATCCATTTGGAACTGCTATTTTAGGAAGCACTTCTGCTCATAATCACTTTTATTTTAAAAAAATTATAAGAAATTCAAGTACTTTCTAGAGAAACACCTGCTATGTGAAGTAGGTGCTATGACCTATAGGTACTTTTAAATATTTCTATCAAACATTATCAAAAGCGTTTTTTATTGAAATAAAGGGCTTTTAGGCATTCCAAAATCACTCCTAAACATGATACTAGATATATAGTTAGTTAGGCCTTTATTAGACATATCATAAGAAATGAGCTTATCATAAATTTTGGAGGACCCAAATTTGAATCACACGTCCTCCAATACTTAAAAGAACAAAGAAAAATAAAAGAGCTCGTGAGTCATCTTTGAGAATATTGGCCCCAAGATTAGGATGAGGCAAAATCTGAAGTCATAATATTAGGCGCCGCACATGTGTTGTGAGAACAAGTAAAGTAATAGAGGCAAAATCTGAAGTCATAATATTGGTCGTTAACCCCTTTTTGAAATTGTCCAAATACACAATCCAAAAGGCCCTCCTCTCTTTCTTCTCCATTCGAGACAATAACAGTAGTAAACACTTATCAGTTAGTAGTTATCCACATTGACCACTATGAACATAAATTGCCTGCCCAGTGCTTATCCAACCGCCCACATTAGTCTATCCTTCTTTTTGGCCACCTTGTAAACAGTACATGCATGCATTTCCACTTGGTTCACTTCTTTATATTCTCACCCTTTTAAGAAATTTTTGTTCATAATTAAGAAAATTTGAGAAGATCTTCTTCATGCCTCTATTTAGGACAGTCTTCCACTTATCTTGATAAGTACGTGGAGACTTTTATTAGACACTCATCTTTTTTAATACAATTACTAAAAGCATCTCCAGTAGAGGGTTGTATAATGAGGTGTATGTTAAATATACACTATTTATAATCTGAATCACTTGCAATGGGCAGGTATAAATGATTGTAAATTTGCATAACAACCGTGAGATGCAAATTTAAATGCACAAGTGCATCCTTTTTTACATCCCTTGCATATGGGGCCTACGTGAGAAAATATGATAAAAGATGGACAAAAGTGAGCAAAAAGGTTGAATATAAAGATACTTGCCCAAGACGCGTGGCTAGAGTAGTTGCTAGATAAAACTTCATACTTAATTTGTAGCCACATAAAATAAAATAATTCATTGTTGCTTATTACGCTTCTACAGTGCAACTCATAATTAATCAATTAATTAATAAGTAATATATATATTTAGTAGCTTGTTCTTCTGATAATTTTTCTGTAGATGAAATCATATCTTCTCCAAATTTAAATATTTTTAAGTCTATTTGTTTGAAAAAATAAAATAAACTAACACACACAAAATTATTTATAAAGTTAACACAAAAACGAATTAAGACAACAAAACAAAAACAAAACAAAAACCAATTATACATCTTTAGATTTACATCTCCTCATTGGAGCAAAAACCACATTTACAACCCCCGAAAAATACATCTTCCCCTCCCCCCCCCCCCCCCCCCACCACACACTGTGGATGCTCTAACCATGCTACATCAACCTAAAAAAAGCCCGAATTATGAGCAGGGATGGTCCTACGTCCACTTGGTCGACTTGATATTTTATGGTCCAATACTATACTCAACCATCAAAGCACACCTCCACACACCTTATCCCAATGATCCCACCCATAGAAAATCTCTTTTTTTTTCTTTAGTTAATTAATATTTATTACTCAGCCTTTTTCAGAAAACACACATTCCTAGAAAACATCCTTTACATTTTCTGTCCATTTTTTTTTTTTTTTTTTTTTTTTTTTTTTTTTTTTTTTTTTTATTTTTTCTAGTGTATATTGTACATTCAATAAATCATTCCATTCATTTTTTTTTTTTTTTTTCTAATTTTCATTTTTATTTTCCAAGTTGGCTTGGATGGATTAAAATGGTTCAGTTTTTTTTCTGCTTCTTCTTTTGTAATGGACAATAAATGTTTTCAATTCTTTTTCTTTCATGGAGAAGTTTATCATGTAATTGCTAATTGACTGTAAAATTCATACTTCAATGAAATTCACTAGTTCCGTCAAGTGTTTTAGGTTTGTATGTAAGATAAATTTAGCCCACTCTATTTTCAAACCCTAAGTCCGTCCCTAATCATGAGATCGAAGATAGATAAACCTCGAAACTTTTGGCTTATAACTTCTCACCCGCCAAATTATTTTGATTACATTCACTGAAAAAAATACAAAAATCAAAGTATCAAGCCACTAACCCAACCCATAAAGTCCATCTATATTCAAGCGAAATACCATCTTTGATGAATATTGACATTTGAATTTTGAAATGATAAAGTGGGGTTCTGCTTTCTTTTTTTTTTTTTTTTTTTTTTTTTTTTTTTTCCTTTTTTTGTTTTTTGCGAAGTATTCAGTATGCTACTACTAAAACCATTAACATTTTTAGTTTGGGTAGCGGCATCGTGTTGTTGATGCTCTTTTTAGTTCCTTTCTCCTTCTTGGGAATGGAGCAGTGCTACTAAAAACCATTAACATTTTTAGTTTGGGTAGCGGCATCGTGTTGTTGATGCTCTTTTTAGTTCCTTTCTCCTTCTTGGGAATGGAGCAGGAAAATAGAGGAGGCTGAGTTAACACCAATGCCCCAATTAGATCTTTGGCTCGTGAAAGGACTACTCAATTTTCGACAAAATTTAAAGTTGGATCAAGTTGAAAATGGCAGGAGAGCACGGGCTGAGTCATGGTGACCTGCTTCTTCTGGCCCGATTCGTAGTTTGCATAGGCGTGCCACTATTAGTGATGAGACTAGCCCAATATACCTGGTATATGTGCTGTAGAATGCTTTGTTCGGTGGATTTGTGCTTGTTCTGGACCTCTGATCAAGTCATTGTGCTCCAAGGGGGTACTGGCTCAGATGAGTTCTTTTCTATACCTCAATTAAGAGGACTTCAATATTCTTTCAATTATGCATCTATAGCTTGGGAGGTACGAACGATACCTAGCCAAACAAAAAAACCAATGTTGTGTCAATGTTCCCTTGATTGGGTCAGAGCTATAAAAGATAAGTGCATTGTTAATTGGTTATTTGGGTAGCAGGTTGGCTGTTTGAAAAGCTTGAAATTTGTTCAAGTGTTTAAGGCACGTTGCATCTGATTTTGGAAAGAGAGTCCTCGAGTGCTGCTGTTGAGCCTCTATATTTATAGGCAAAATATTCCAACGATGACGGTGGTGGGTGGAGGATAAAACTTGAGTGTTGTCCAATGTCAGCTGAAGAACTGCCCTCCACTACTACAAAAAAAAACACTTTGCATAACGAAATAAGTTTGTTGTGCAAAGTACAATTTCGCCGCGCAAAACTGGCACGACGAAATTTTGGTCGCCCATGATCCGTTGCGCAAATCTCGTGAAGATAGGGTTTGCGCGACGAAACCTAATCTTCGTCACGCAAAGCTACTTTGCGCGACAAATACTAAAGTTTTGCACGACGAAAAATATATTGGTCGCGCAAAGTTTTGCGCGATGAAAAATATTTGTCGCACAAAGTCTTAAAAAAAATTATAAAAAATAATAATAATTCCCGCGTCCCATTTTTGGTACCTACCCAAATTTTTAGAGTTTTGCGCAACGAAATACGAACATCACGCAAATATTTGCACAACGAAATACGCGACGAAATATTTTTTGTGTTTTAAAATTTTGTAATTAAAATAAACTAATTTAATAGTTTGTGCGACGAAATATTTTGTCGTGCAAGGTTTTTGACCTTTTGTTTTATTATTTCTTTTCGAATTTTTACTTTTAAAATTTAATTTAATTGTATGTTTTTTTTTAATTACTTTAATTTAAATTGACATATTCAAAATAAAATTACGTATGAAATATAGTGATCAAATTATCCAATATATATAATATTCAAAATGTACACATAAATTAACAAAGTACAATAATAAAATCCTAATACAAGCCTATTGTGTGGTAGTGGCATCCTAATCCTCAACTTTAGCTGTCAAAGTCTCGACGATTCCTTACAAACAACAAATAACAAAAAACAAATATGGTCAAATAACAAAAAATTGGCATAATCTCCCCTAAAATTGTTATACCACAAATCCAACCCAAACATCCTCACCCTATACTCAACCCTAAACCCCACACAAACTCAAAACTAACTCCAAAAACACATATTAATGAAAAAATTTTAAAATTTGGAGAGAATATACATTTTTGGCAAGATTGAGAGTGAGTGTGAATGAGAGAGAGAAGTGAGTGTGAGAGAATTACAAAAGATAGTGAGAGAGAGATGAGAGAGTGAGTGAGAGTGAGAGATAGTGAAGTGAGATGAGAGATTAAGTGAGACGAGTGTGAGAGAAAGGGTTGGATTTGGGGAGAGGGAAAGAGAGAGGAGAGGTAAGAATAGAGAGAGACATTGAGAAAATGGTGGAGGAGTTATTTTGGTTTTAAAAACCGTATCACTTTGTGCGACGAAAAATATTAGTCGTGCAAAGTCTTAAAAAAAAAATCCCGCGTCCCATTTTTCCGCCCAAATTTTTAGAGTTTTGTGCGACGAACCGTTGGTCACTCAAA